GGACCGGCCCCGATGACACCATTCATGTGAGCTGCTTTCTCTGCTTCCGAGTAAGAGGGGATCGGCAGAACTTTTGGGTCGTCTGGAGACCCGGCTTCAGTCAAAGCATTGGTGTCTACCAGAGCAGGCTCGTCCGGTCCGGGAGGCTGACCATTGGCGGTTGCTTCCTTGACCTCTGAATTTAGCTCACGAGAAGCAGCGGAAGGCTCGAAGGATGGAGGGACAGGAACGAGGTTAGAGACCGATGCATCGTGTTTGACTCGGCGCACGCGAGGTGGCGAAGAGGTCGGAGCGCCAGATGGAGTGACGGACGGCGATTGGCGTGCCAGTGGCTGTGACGGCTGCGGACCAAAGTAATCGTCCACTCGACTTGCCAATGCCCCAAAGAGAAACGAGGCCAAACGGGCAGACTCGCTGCCTTCTCGGCGAGGTCCTTGGCCTGCGGAGCTCTGTGAGGATACCCTACGGGACCTCTGTAGCTGGTATGACGATGACGGCGAAAGCGCACCCGCAGCAGGGGTGACTGGAGGTGCAGTTGGTGCGTCGTCGTCCGACTCGGGCTCGCCGCCTTCAAAGTCCACAACATCCTCTGCTTCCGCTTCGCTGAGGCCGAGACCAGCGAAAGCGTCCGCACGCAGCTCAGCCTCCATCTCAAGCTCAGCTCGCCATCGTCCGAGATGCAACGAGCCACTGCTAGCCCTTCTGGCCAAGCCACGTTGGGAGTCTAGATCGTCCTTGCCTTCTTCATCTGAGCGTCTGTCTGCCGATCGGCTTGGTCTGCGACCCTCTTCAGCACCACGAGAGGCGGAAGTGAGCCATCCACTGATAGGCAAGCCCCACAAGGTCGCCCATCGGGTTGGGCCTGCAGGCCTGAACGAGCGCCGAGGCAGCGCTGGTCGCCCACCATCGTCCAAAGAGCGCCTGCTGTACGCGCCCTCCGATGCCGACTGCCGAGCGTTTCGGGACGACGCTTCTCGAGCTTTCTCGCTGCCGACTGCTAAAGATGGGTGATTGGCTGCTGCGGTCCCAGCCACTGAGGCAGTGGCTATTAAGGGCGACGAAGCGCCTTGGTCAGGTGCGGCGCGCTCATTTGGACGGGCTGGCGTGAGGCCAAGTCCCAGAGCAAGGGCAGCTGTCCGGCGTTCCTTTTCGCCCCTGCGAAGAGAGTAGTCGCTAGCTCTACGAGTGACTTTGCCGGACTGGCTTCCTAGGGCTTCTTGAAGCAATTCAGTACGCTCCTTGTCGTCTACGCTCGACGCGGCCGCAGCTGTCCCTGAACTCGCAGTCCTTCGGCTTCTCCTTCGTTCGGAAGATTCGCCCAAGCCCTCGGAAGCAATATTGCGATCGCCAGCCCCACTTCCGCTACTGCTTGGTCGTCTGGAATGCTTGGGCGACCCTTGGAGTGACCGCGACAGCAGCGAGTCCAGATAGGTGATCGAGTTCATCTTAGCGTCTTAAAAAGATGGAGGACACATAGAATTGGCCGCGGGCTTCAGAGCAATTCAACGCTGGCACGCTACAGGGTCGGCTGGCCCCAGTCTTAGCAGTGCTCGGTCGACTTGCGTATGATTGGCGGCACTTCAGAACATACTGAACGCAGCTGCTCGGGCGACTCTGACGAAGGCGTCGTGCGCTTGCGGGAAGTGAACGCACGTGCCCAGCAATGTGCAGAAGGGGAGAGGCAAATCGATTTTTTGTTGGGGTACCTGTGAGACTGGAGTTCGAGCTTCGTGCTTGCCGAGGTCGAAAGGCGTGGAAGGATGGAGTGGCGGGT